GGGAAGAGTAATGGAGGTCCGTGTACCATGCACAGATCAGGGCATGATAACACACTGTATGTTGTGCTTGAGGACCATCTCTCAAAACTGCATGCAGTTGAACTTTGTTTCTTGTTACATGGGGATTATAACCCAATCCATGCATACAATCCTCAGATACATAAGCCATAATGTTAAAAAACTCATCAGAATCTCTGACACCAAATAAGTAAAAAGTCTAAATTTAATATAACCATGATGTTATTAAAATTTGTAACAGTTCACCTATTTCACAGTGTCTGCCTTCATGGTGTCTAGGACAAATGCAAATATAGTTTTGATACTCGTCAATACATGTCCCCCCATTTTGGCAAGGGTTGGAGTCGCACTGATTAGGATCTGGAAAAAAAAAACCCAACAACACAGACACAATGTGAGTACAAATGTAATAAAGCCTTTTTCTAATAAGGTTTGCTGAGTTGTATTGACATGAATCTGCTTACCTATGTAATAGGTCCAGAACTCCATCTGAGCAGAAACGGACAGGGATAGGAGGAAAAGAAGAAATAAAACATGTAAACATGAACAGCCATCCTTGACGCAGTTAAAATTAGCACCTACAAGCAGTCATTCCCAGCATGATGTCTTTATGGCGTTTTTGACTTCAACCGCTACGCGTGTTCCTGAGAATCCTTGTTGGAGCAGATAGAATTGCAGTTCAAGACATTTTAGGGGAATGTACCTTCTGGAAATTGAACTAGAAACATAGGTTTTTCCCCCTTTTTAAAAGAAAATACAAACCAATATCGGTACACCGGCAACTTGGGACTTGACTCTGGGGGTTTGGGGGAGGGGGCTCAGGACTCGACTTGTGACTTGGACCCATTTATCTGAGTCATGTAGTTGAGTCCCTATGCTAGGCCAGTGCATGTGTGGGTGGAGGTAGGAGGCCTACTTCCCTTCCTAGAGCCATCCTGCTGTCTATGTGGGTGCACTGGGCTATCAGCTACATTGAGGGGTGGTCCAATGACTTGAGATTCAAACTCAAGGCTTAGGACTCGGGCCCGAAAGTTTGAATCTGTTGTGTTGCATGTTGTGTGGATACTACTGTACAAGCTTTAGACAGGGTTCTGGGATTTAGGGATTGTTATGGAGGGTGTGTGTGTGTTTTTGGACTCAGGCCCCAAGACTTGCCAACATCTCTAATAAGAGGGAAAGCATTAATCATAAAGTACATATCCTAATGTGATGGTAAGCTATGATTTGGCACCAAAATGGAAGTCTAGAAGGTGCAGAGGGAGAGGGAGTGATACAAACCCAAAGGCATTGTTCAGCATTGCATCTGAATTAGGTTATTGTCTCAGACATTTCCTATTTTGGAATGTTGAGAAAGTTGGAGGAAATTTGTACTTCATGTTTGTCAAATTCATAAGTTGTTCATAAGTTTAGTAATTTAACATTTTTTTAAAAAAATCAAAGTTATGTAAATTAGAAGGCACAAGAAATTCAGTATTTAATTCTTTTTTGAATTAGATGCATAATCAGCACCTATTGTATGGGACAGCCAGCTGCAAAAGCCAATTGGTTAATGGGGGCTAAACAGTCCTAAGCAAAGGCTTGCATTTGAATGAGGCAGAAGAAATAATGAGGGCCTGGTAACTCCCTAGCCTATGAGCCGTAAAACCCCAGTGCAATTAACAGAGCATTCTGAGCTTTGAGCACGTCCAACCAAAAAAGATGATTTTCCTATATGGCCCATATAGACCCATGCACTGCACGTCAAAAGGACAGCCCCACTTCTGGTTGCCAGTATTCCAGGTGTTTTTCTTGCAGGTGGTTACCAAGGCTTCTGTTTCCCCCGAAGTGCATATATGGCACCTGCTCCTTCAGCTGGAGCCTGGCTTCATGTGTATCATTGACATATATTGTTATAGTTTAGAACATAAACAGAAAAATAGATTAGTGCTTGGAATTGCCACCCAATTAAGAGCATAAAGTCCTAAGTTGTTTTTAGAGTGCATTTTTGTGCTGCAGGAAGCTATATAAACTGCATTAAACTAAGGCATAATGAGCAGTCTGACAGACACATCTTATGAATTTGGTGTTACAGATGTGGTGGACAGGGGTTTTTGAACTTGTGTGAAACTGTGCTTTTGCGGACTTCCCAAATCCTCAGTGATTTAATGGGGCTGCTCCAGGCGCCTCCTCAGTGATTTAATGGGGCTGCTCCAGGTGCCATCACTTCTTGTCCTTTTGGCTAAGATCAAGTGTAGACCCTCAGTGATTTAATGGGGCTGCTCCAGGTGCCATCACTTCTTGGCCTTTTGGCTAAGATCAAGTGTAAATTCCGTTTTTATCAGTTCAATATGTTTAGGTTTTATATTAAAAAAAACCAGTATGATTTCACCTGAGTAGAGGCAGATAAACTTTGAGTAGTGGTATATCATACTGCATGATTTTTTATAAAGGGTATTTTGAAAGGCCTGGAGGAAGAAACAGTATCTTTTGGCACCTGGTTGGTGTCACTTCTGCCATCTACTCTTACTTCCTGCTCCAGTGCAGGATGTTCTGTTTGGTCGCTCACTGGTTCTAACCTTATGATCTTGAGGTTCTACAGAATCATGGTTTTCTGGTTTGGAATTACAATTTTGTGGTGATTTTAAAGGGAGAGATGGGAGTAAACAAGAGAAATAGGAGGGAACACAAGCCTTTTGTTTATTTAGTGATAGACCATGTGAACAGTTTGACTATTTCACTGATTAACAGCTCCTGCCTTTTTGTTCTTAGTTTTAACACATTAACATTTTTCTTGAACTCTCATCTCTGACTCATGTACCACAATAGACTAGCAAGTACCATTGTCCCATTACTGTGTCTGACGGGGTGTTTTGAGCCACATTGCCATGAAGCTGACTTGCATCCCATTTGTTACCAGCTATTATACTTGTACCCAGCACAGAACTGGGCAACCCTCTTTGAAATGGAAAGAGACAAGTAAAAACCGAACACCACGATTCAGTGGGTGGCAGTTATTCTACCACTTCAGCTTACTTACAGTTCTTTTCTTATCTTTGAAGATTTCTCTTGCTTCTTCAAATGAACACTTCTCTTCTAGACACTCACGCTCCAACGACCCTGACTTAATTTCTTCAAAGAAAGAATTGGCTCTCTTTTTCCTTTGTAGCACATTACTTGCTTCCTCTTGCCTTATGAAGACTTTGAAAAAAACAACTGCATTTATTGGCTGGCTGTATTTTTCAAACAGAATCCAGAACACAAATGAAGAAAATATTGCTGAGCTGAAACTATTTACTTTCTCTCTCCTCTCTCTCTCTCTCTCTCTCTCTCTCTCTGTGTGTGTGTGTGTGTGTGAGAGAGAGAGAGAGAGAGAGAGAGAGAGAGAGAGAGAGAGTTTGTTAACAGTTTGTTATATCCAGTTTGTTAACAGCTATTACTGTATATCCAGTGCAGAAATGGCAGTTCTTGTTGAAATTTCTTTTAGCACCATACTTTCCTCCATTCCATGCCACATATTTTCCAGACTTCCAACTATTACAAGAGATTTCAATGCAGTTTACAGTGCAGCACTGCAGACTGTTCAAGAAACACATCTTCAAATATCTTCTCTGGATTTACAGGTTTACTGAGCATGTCTTCATATCTGATCTACTGCTACTTAAAGGTGTGTTAATACACTCCATGTGAGCATTCAATATTTTATTTCAGGTTTGTCTTTTCCATATTGGTGTTTACCTAGAGTACTTACTTTCTGGTGCAGATAGAGTTTCATTTAATTTCTAATTAGAGCCTCATCTATTTTCACCTCCTTCTAATTTCATCTAACAGGAAAATGCTTACATGAACCTTATATTTCCAAAAATCTATCCCACCCACTTTTAACACATATGCCTGACGAAGAGTATAAATTTTGGAACACTAAGCACAGCTGTTTGGTCCCATAAGGTCAATATTATTCTTGCTTTATTCAAATATTATTTAAAGTGAGTAACTAAATTTTAATTGAAATTCAACAAAAAGTGCATGAAATAATTGTTGTTTTGTGGTGCTTTGTTTTGTGTAGGTCATTTTCTATCTTCTCAACAGAGAATAACATTTAAGACTTAAAAACAGTAAGAGGATCACAACTACCATATAAATTAATATGAGATAAATGTTATGACTGAACAATGGAATAAACAGACACACGGATCATTTATTGATCCATGGGAAAAATTTCTAACCTATCCACTATTAATTTACCAGATGGAAAGAACCACTGTTACATATATGTGCACCCATGTTGCCTACCATTTCATTTTTTCAATGAGTACTTTAAATCTTGTCCACAAATGGGCAGTTTTCAGTAGCATAAGGCAAAATACTAAGAAATGTAAAAGTTAAACTGTGGAAGTAACAGAAATATTCATATTATATTCAAATATGTATAGGAAGACACAGTCTTGAGTTTACAAGAGCAGAGTAGGGCTGTTGAGGAAATGATAGGACAATATGGAGATTTCTCATTCTCAAATCAGCAGTGGCGTGACGGGACATAACAACAAACACATATGTATAGGACATAATTGTTTAGATTTGTTCTTTTATAGTACTATCTTACAGCATCAATTGAAAACACAGCACCAAAAAGAAGAAAACTGGGAGCAACAATGAATAGTTGTCTGATTAATTCTTATTTCAATTTAATTGTTTGACATTTCACAGCAGATCAATTAATGATGCGGGGGGGCAGAATGCTTACAATTAACCTTAGCTATAGACTTTTCTAACTCCTTTCTGTAAGCAAATCCTTTTATCATACAAAAAGAATTCTTGGAAATTGCTCTAGAGGTTTTTTTTAAAAAAAAGAAACCAGAATAAAATAAAACCATTTAAAATATATTATAGTAATATATTAATAGATACATTATGACAATTTCATGAGTCGTACCTGCAGCCAGTGAAAAAGGGTATATTAGCAAAAGGCAGAAAAACAGAATGCTGAAGTGACGGGAAACCATGATGAAACCAAAAAGCTGTTTCCAAACCGTGTTCTGATATTTCAGCACAAACTATGTGACCAAAGTTCCCTGTTCCAGTTGCTTCAGTGGGAGGAGGGGTGCAGAGATACTAGAAGAGGAAGAACCGAGGCCATTAACAGAAACACACCTAATAGCCTGCCTGGTAAAGCAGAGTATTTAATTTAATAAGGCCAATCAGAGTTCAGATCCCAGTAAGATATTAAATAAAAGACCAGGTAAAAACAACCTAAACTGGGAAGATATGAATCATAACACTCTAGAGTGGCCACTTAAAATATCTGAGAAAAAAAAAGAGATAGGTTAACTTGATCCTTTACTTACTGATGAAAGGATAACAAGGTGGAAGCTAACTAGGGTGCCATGTTAACTAGGGTGCCAAAGCTGAGGTGCTGCTATTGATAAGGATGTGCTCAGGCAGGCTGTCCATGATATCCCATCAACAGGACACAGAGACTTATCAATTCCTAAGCCGGCGACCCCACCATCTTGACCGTTTTTATTAAATGTTACTGTTTCTGTGTTGTGTTTTAGTTTATAATGTCTCTGTTTGCAATGTTTAGTACACTTTGTTTTTTTTTCATATTATTTTAATGTGCATTTAATTTAATTTATTGTTGTTGATTATTGTTCTTATTTTTTGTTGTGAATCATCCAGAGTGGCCTTGGTAGCCAGATGGGCAGCATGCGAATCAAATCAAATCAAATCATCAAGCAATAAAATGTCTGCAACAATCCTACTTCAGACATTGGGGAAAGGGGCTAATACATGTTCAGCTAGCAAATACAAAGATCTATTCATTACATTTGAAATGTATTCATATCCTGAAGGCAGAGTATAAAACTGATTCATTGTAGACACCTCTTCGGTACAAATACGTAACACAGACATTTGTGGGGTTGTTTCTTTCCCCTCCTGGAACTTGCAAACAATATTTCAGAACAAACAGATCCAATGGAAAACAAAAAGTACAGAACAGATGAAACATCATGACAGTACCAGTGAAGAAAGAGTTGTTCAGATCTCTGTAACAGCAGCTTGTCTTTCTGGGCGTCTCCTTCCAGTGTGAATTCTATGCATAAAGACAATCTGTGCTTTTGCAGAAGTGGTTTGGAATATGTGTTTTACCATACTTTAGGGTGGTGATTCTCAACCAATGAGGCATCCCTCAGGAAGAAGCATATCAGTTTCAGTAGAGGCATGTGAGGTGTACAAAATCATATTCAATATTATGATTCTTGTCTGACAAAGAGGAGAAAATAATTGTACCCATTGCTTTCCTAGTACATTGCTACTTACATCATTCTGTGATGCATAGCACTGTACCTATTTCCAGACTTGAACATTATTTGATTTATTTTAAGTTTCACTATTTCAAAATTGCAGACAAAATTATTGGGGGAGGCAGATTTTACAAGGGTATAAGATTTTTGTTAAGCCAAAGGGGAGAGAGCTTGAAAAGTTTGAGAAAAAAAAATCACTTTTGTGAGTTCATTTGTCTCCATTATTTCAGAAAATATGCTAATTTTGTCAGAGCTTGGACTTTTAATTTTTTAAAATTGAGTCCAAGTTAATTTTACAGAATTGAGTAAAAGTCAGTCACAGAATCTCACAGAACAGCCATAGGTAAGGAACCAATAAGCCATACAGCAAGACTTTTTAAAATAGTAGTCTATTTTGAGGAGGGGATTGCAGTCCACTGCACGTAGTAAATGTCTTGGACCAGCACTGGTGACCAATGCTCAAATCCATACTTACAAGAAGACCTATTTTCATAGTACTAGCAGAGATGCTTAAAATATGGATTTTTTCTACCTTTGGGTAGAAGAACGACATGCAATTTGGATGCAGGCCTGAAGGAAGCAGCCTGCAGCCTGAAGAATCTCTGGCAGGAGTTCTCAGTTCATGAGAGAAGTCTAATTTGAAAGCATAGGTCCCACCGCATCTATACTTTCCAAAAACTTTCCTTACACACGTTTAAGTAGAAGGCAGAACGCAAAGGACCGAGAAGTGCTAGCCACCTCCTTTGCCTTCTTGCAAAAGGAAAACAGTGCTCAGCCCCATGCAGGTAGAATAAAGGAGGCTGCTGCCCAACATAAGTAAGGGGATAGCGTAGCTATTTACCGTATTTTTCGCTCCATAAGACGCACAGACTTTCCACACCCCTGTTTTGTGGGAAAAAAGTGAGTCTTATGGTGCAAAAAATACAGTAAATACAACAAATCTACTTAAATGAATGCAAGCCTGCAGGGCCAGGTGAGCTGAACTCCAAGATACTAAAGGAACTTGCAGATCAAAGTAATCTCAGGCTTGGTAGATCTGGAGAATGCTGTGGATTTCACCAAGGCTTTTGTCAAACATATCTCCATGTTTTCTTCTGGCCAAGAAGGTAAAATGTGGACGAGATGATGTTACTCTTAGGCGGATTTGTAACTCGTGGACATAAATACATAAAGAATGCTCACCAATGGCTCCTCTTTATCCTGGGGAGAAAGGACAATTGGGGTGCCGCAGGATTCGGCCCTAGACTTCTTATTCAGCTTCTTTAGAAATAACTGGGATGGTTTTAGAAGAGGTCGCTGTCTTGGTCCATGTTAGCAGTTCAGGCAAAAACAAAGGAAAACAAAACAAAATATGAAAATGGTGTGGCACCTTAAAGACTATTGGCTATATTTTAAAGTGAGGTTTTGTGGACAAGTCCAGGTTTGGTGTCTGAGGAAGTGGACTAGACCATGAAAGCTCATATTAAAACTTGGATTGTGTTTTTTGTAAACAACCAAGCCCTACAAAGCACAGTTGGGACTCTGCTGGAGATATAATGTCTTGTGTGGGCACAGCCCATTAAGTCAATATAGCTCCCTTCCCTGCCTTTTATCTCAGACCTTATTCCAAGAGTTGGGATGATGATATACCAGGGTGGACAGGCAATTACTGACTTCCAAAATGCCCTGTCATTAACAGATTTGCTCAGATCTTGCAAACCAACATCTCACATTAGGTTGTTCTCTCTTCCTGCTGCTCTGCCCCCACTTTGTAGTAATATTGTCTTTTCCGTTAAGCTCTGCTCAGATCTTGCAAACCAGCAGCTGTGGCTTTCTTTACTATTTCAACCCATCTAATGTTTTTCTGCTTTTTCTACTGCTCCCCCTCCACCATTTCCCCAACAATATTGTCTATTCTGGTCACTTCTGTATTTCCTTTATACAGTATGTACATCAGGGGTCTCAACCTCAATTTACCTGGGGTGCTCTGGAGGCAGAGTCTGGGTGAGGCTGGGCCACATCAGATTTTCCGCCAAGTGGAGCAAGAGCCCGAGGAAGCCACCCAGGAGTTTCCTTAGCCCAGCTGGGGCTCTGAGGCGGAGGAGGAAGCACCACTGGGTGCCGAAGTGGCCACTGGCTGCGGTGGGGTTGGGGGTGCCGAGAGCGAAAGAGCGCCAGAGAGCCGCTTCCCTGGAAGAGGCGGCGATGGCGGCAGCTGCTTTTGGCGGTGCTATTGGAGGCGCTCTTCGAGGACGGGCTGGGAGCGAACTCTGCTCTCAGGCATAGCTCAATGGTGGCTTGGGCACTCGGGGAAAAGGGCCGGCAGCGCACCTTGCTCGCCGGCTCTCCCAAGACGGTGCCTCTTGCAGCCTCCTGCAGCCTGCCAGCCAGCAGACAGATGGACTGGCTGGCAGGCTGCAGTTCTGGATGGAGGGTGCAAGAGGCACTGTCTTGGGAGCCAGCGAGCGAGGCGAGGCTTTTTTTGACTCTTGACAGCAGAGGACGCGTGAGTGCTTCGGGGGGGGGGCAGGCAAGGCAGAGGCCACAAACTATCATCCAGCGGGCCGCAAATGCCCCCTGGGCTGCATGTTTGAGACCCCTGATGTACATGGTAGGATAGGCCAAGGTTGCTCATTTTTGTTTGAGAGAGAGTGTATACTTTCTCTCGAAGTAGACTTTGTCTGGGAGGGGGGGGGTAAAGGTCTAATAAAAAGTAAAAGTAAGAAGTAAAGTCACTCCAACCTCTTCCTTTTTTTAAAAAATGCAAAATAAAAGGGACATGCACACAATATGTCTATAGAGCTTGTGGCCCAATTTAGCTTTTCTTCCTCAGCTTGCCTAATGCAAAGAAAGGGATTGGAAATTGGAACATGGGTTTCCAGTCCTCATTCGGCAGAGCGGGCATGGCAACATTATAATGCTGATGATGGCGACCACAAAAGCTTATGCAATAATAACTGTTACTTTTTGAGACTGGTCTTTTTTTGTTGCTAGGTGAAGGCAGCTACTGCTGTAAAAAAATTGGACATGGAATATATTTGTCATTTTCAAGAGAATACTACTTGATAATAATAATGTGGGAAGGCTCCAGAAAGAAGGGACAAAGGACCTGATCCCTGCAGGACTAAAAGATACCCCAAATTCAGCTGTGAAACAGTGCAGAAGAATGTAGAGCCAGACTATGACATGGTTAGCACATGTATATAGCATTCTTATGACATTTGGATAACCAGTGCATTGTAGTGGATAGAGTGACAGACTAGGACTCAGAAAGTCTGTGTTTGAATTCCCTGCCCCCCCCCCATCATTGAAGCTCACTTGGGGGAGTGGAACTAGTTAAAACAGTCATTAAATATCTCTCTTACCTTGAAACCCCTATTCGATCACTGTGTTGGTTCCAAACTGATCGGAACATAATGACAAATATGACATTTACTGCATAACACAAAAAGTGAAGAGAGGAAGCTATTCCTTCAAGGCAAACGGGAGCACTCAAGAGACTACAGTTACTAAAACTGAGAAATGGCACTAGAGCCACTATTTATGTCTCACCTGAGATACAGCGGAAATGGCAACAGCTACAACTACTTTTTCCCCATGTGCAATGAGGGCTAAATCACGTCATGTGGGGGAAATGAGTGCTTCAGCTTTCCAGTGGTTAGTTTTAAAAGGTATCAGCTAATGGAGGGCCTAAACCTGATTGGAAACCACCCTTAGTTACAATTGCCACTTCAAATGAGCTTTGGGATGGAGTTGGAAAAGTGGAAGTACCTCTATGATATTTACAATTTTCTTTGTGACTACAAATCCAGTCCCTTCCTTATTGAGAACTGTAGGGACTACAGTATATGATTATAACATTGCCATGCAGTTACCGTATTTTTTAAACCATAAGACGCACTTCCCCCCACAAAACAGGGGGGTGGAAAGTCTGTGTGTCTTATGGAGCGAAGAAAACAGATTATATTTTCCTGTTTTCTTCTCCTAAAAAATCGGTGCGTCTTATGGAGCGAAAAATACGGTAGTTTGGCCCTAGTGTAAATGCTAGTAGCTGAAATGGGTTATGTGGTGTAATGTCTTATAAGATCCCAGTTTAGGAGACTGCTGTGAATAAAGACACCCAAATCACAATTTTTGCATCTCTTCATAAACATGCAAAATATCAGCATTAAAGGACAAACAGAATAAACAATCTGCCCCACTTTATATAATTTTCCTATTCAGTATGCAGAAGCTATTTAAAAACTGTAACAAAGAGCACATGGTTTATTTAAAATGGGTTTGTACTTTGACAGCATAGAGTGAAGGAAGCCAGCTGAGTAAAACTAACCCCAGGCTCTTTGCGAGAGAGATTATTTTCGCTCTATTTGTTCTAGTTGTTGATTCTGCAAGCATCTTATTTGAACAGTATTTAGTAACAAAGTTGAGGTGCATATGTTTGTATAATAGTTTCCATATTACTTATGACTTTTAGAGTATGTTAAAACACATTGATTTCTGTTGGAAGGAATGGCCAAACTTCACTTGCTTTATGCCTGTAAGTCTTCCATCCCTACTCATAAATTCTTCAGCTGTGTTTTATCAAACCTTTCCTCAACAACTTCAGTGACCAGGCTCACAGATTCTCTTTTTTTTATTCTCTTCTTTCTCTCCAAGTGTTGTCACTTCTGTCTTGATTGGATTTTACCCCCCACTTAAGTTAGTTGCATATAATACTGTATATGGCATGTTGATTCCAAATGATAGTGCCCTTTTCCAGGATTTTCTAGCTATATATAGTGGTCAGATAGTTTACCAGTTCCTCCTTCTGGGGGGTGATCTGGGGATGTGTAACTTGTTCAAGGCTATACAACTTGGCTGTTCTTCCAGTAGGCACAGTAGAAAACTGAAATTCTGATTTCTGGTTCTGCAGCCAAATACCCAACTGAGCTATCCAGCTAGCTTCAGATGCAGACAGGGTGAGTTCATATACATGGCCATCATCTCTACAAAATTCTAAGAACTTCCACACAGGTCATGGTTACCAGAGATCTCCCCTTGGTACTTCATACATTGATGTAAGAGCCAGTGTTGAGATGTACAAAGTCATGTGGACATAATCACTTGTAGATAAATATATGCAAGAACACAAGTCTACTGAGAAGGTATTTGTTGCTTCTGTGTCCTGTGCAGTACTCCAGTACAACCACCACTGGAAATTTACACACCATTGTTGTACATATTCTGTCCTTTCTTCCAAGTTCAACGCTAAAGAATTAGGAAACAACAGTTGGGATCTGAGTTATTTTAAACGTGTATCATGCAAAGATCTTCCTGGGTAAAGGGAACTGCTGCAAGGATTTGGAATGCCAGAGGCATACATAGCATTTTGTATATGTCAAGGTGAGGATTGGTGGGTTTTATATATTCTGGTGCTACAAAACAAACAGGCACACCTTATGGGGCAAAGTTCCTATGTTGAGATCACCTGGGAAGAAGTATGGAAATTTATTTGAAGTTTCATACATATAATAAAGACAGTGGACTCTGCAGTAGCAATTTACAACAATAGAAAATTGAAATGTAGATGGCATTAAAGTGCAATGATGTACAACCACATGAGTAACAGAAGGAGTGTCATCGAGAACAAAGTGAAAACAGACAGAATTCAAGAGAAGGGCCTATTTACATAGCTTTCTTTCCCCCTTGTAGTTCCTTCAAAGGAGACAGAGAAGCAATAAACCATTTTATTAATCCCATTTTTTAAATTAATCCTATTTTTTTGTCAGTCTTCCAAGCTGGCACAACTAGCACAATGGATAGAGGTTTTGATTATAACCCCCCAGGAGTTGTACCCTTCTTTCCAGGAAAAATTTTGGAATACAAGCATTATTGTTTTTTTTTTAAACACTCATATTTACAATATAAGTTACAGAGACTATTGCTATTTTATAACCACGACAGAATGGGCACTGCCATGGCTGGTACAGTCTTGTTTGCATTTGATGATTCTGAGATGCATCGTTCTTGCTAGAAATTGTATAAAATGAAGCCTCAGATTTCACACTGCTGCCTTTGGAAGGAACCTAAGTACATACAGAGGCATCTTTAGCAGTCTGAAGGGTATAAATACATATATTTACATTAATACATACCACACACATATATAAACATATACAGATATACACTTTTGTACTGACCGAAGTCAAACACAGTTTGATTGCAACCATGAGCTAGAACCTGTTTCTGACAGTTGAAATGATGTTTTACTTTGTTCATACAGGGTATCAGGAAATTAATTTCAAGTCAAATATGTGTTACTGGATCCTACCTGTCCAATTCTTATAAGTGCTGCAAGTCAAACATTCCCTTCTGTCCGACTTTTAAAAAAAATGTAATGTATGAATGAAGTCCAAATGCTATGAGCGAATTCAGAAGTATGCATGGATCTAATATGGTTTATACTATATATGAGACTAAATACAGCTTTCATTGTGTCAGGTAGATTTGTAACTCCCATCTTCAATGAGACTGCTTATGCAACGTTGCTCTATTTTACATGTAGAAAGCAAAATGCCTATGTTTCCCTTTGTTATGTTTCTCCCTCAATCAGGGTTCTTGATTTCATAATAATGTTAAGCAACAGAAGGATTTTGCAATAGACAGAATTAGAAATGTTCAATTTCTCAGCTTGCAACCACCTACTGACTAAGTGCTACAGACAACTGTGTACTGCTAAAAAATGGTGAAGAACAGGCTGAATAACAAAATGTGTTTCAATGTTTTTGTGCCACAATTTACAAAACAGACTTTGTTTTATCAAATTGTCACTGTAACATAAATTATTCTTGTTACAGAATTTGGTTCAGTGGTAGAAATAGCTCCAAACAGCCACTATATCATACTGTTTTTTAAAAGAGAGGGATTAAAAGAGACATGAAGGATTTCTGTTGAAGTGGAATAGTTCAATTTTTTTTGTATCAAAGCCTACAGCTACATAATGCACAATAAAGAAAAACAAAATGCCAGAAACAAACAGTCACATCAAAACTGAATTCTCTGATGCTATATGACAGGGATGGTTAATGTGTGACCTTCCAGACACCATTAAAAAGCAACTCTCCTTTCACCTTTAGGTGTACTAGCTGGGAGTGATGGGAATTGCAGTCCAACAATAGCTGAAGTGTCATGGATTCTCTATTGCCACTATAAAAGATTTCTTACACATTACACCTGGATTCCAAGAGACTTTTTGTCAAATGCCCTACGAAGATCAAGCTTCTCATTTCCCTTTTAACATTATACATTCAGTTCATATTTCTTGATTTAAACTGTAGACATTTACACCAAAGAATATAACCTGGTTTCTTCATAACATTCTTCAAAGTTGTCCAAGGGGAGGTTCATTTTGTTCTAGAGTGGCAGATTTCCAAGGTGCTACTTCTAGAAGACTTTCTTCTCATAATCTGCTCTAATATTCTATCCCATGCACCTGACCATGCTTTAAATATTAATTCCATGTTATGAGAAAGATATTGTAAATGGCCAATTAACGTGGCCAAGGATGAAGGGTGTGAGGACGAGGACATGAAGCTGGGCAAACATGGTGCTTCTCTATTTCACCTAGCATCCGGAACTTGCATTCGAAGGAAAAAAAGATTTGTACAAATCTTGGTAGAGCCTGAAAGTTAGCCCTTAATGTCTGAGAAGCTGGTGCTACTGATATTGCAGCTTTCACTGTAGCTTGAAGATGAGCTGAGTGTACTTGAACCAGCGGCAGATCCTGGATAGAACAAACAAACATTTCCAGAGAAATTTATCTTATTAGTAAGATTTTTCACTACAATGAACTTGACTTTAGCTTTTTGAGAAATTGAGGTAAATTATAGTATTCCCAATAAATATCTTACCTGAACTGCTCAGAGACAGAGCAGATTTTGAGTTGCCAAGCAATGCCAGCAGGCTGTTGACAGGGAGGCAGCCTTCTTTGCCTGTGCTCAGATTCTTTACATACCTAAGGAACAAGGTTGGGTTTTTAAACTGTGTGGGAAAAAATTAAGTTTAAAATAATGTGTCTTGTTTGGAAGTGACACAACACATAGTCACAAATGCACATACACGCACTCTAAGAGACAGGTAACATTTATTTTGCATGTATAACACTACTGATCTCCAATTATGATTAGACTGGAAATATGGTTAATATCATCCTTTTCCCACAATTCCTGCCCCCACATTATACATTCCCTTCATTATTACTTCAATGGCTTCAAGGAGTTTAACAAATTAATTTTTTTAAAAAAATCATCCTTAACAATGGTCTTAAAAAGAGATTCAGACCTTGTTATAATTGGAATATGGATTTAAAAAATGGTTTCCAACCTTGGGTCCCCAGATGTTCTTGAATTACAACTCCTAAAAGCCTTCACCACTAGCTGTGCAGGCCAGGATTTCTGGGAGTTGTAGTCCAAGAACGTCTGGGGACCCGAGATTGAGAACCACTGGTTGAAAGGAACATTCCCATTCCTAACCTCTTAACTAGAGTTTCATGACAGGGAACGTCTTCCTTGCCCTTGAGATGTTGTTGATGTGACCTCCAATCATGCTCTCTATTAGCTCCCACAGCTGCAGCCAATGGACACCGCAGACCAACAATCTCTGCATGGCCCAGGCAAAGTGCTTTCACACATGCTCAGTCTTAAAACACAGTGCTTCATACCAAAGCCCATCTTCTCCTTCATGCATGAGTTGAACTAATTCTCCGCTTTTCAGCATCAGGTGTTCGGCTCCTCCTTTGTCATAATTGGCTGTAACTGTGTATTTTCCAGGAGTCTAAATATGTAAGAAAAATTCACAATTGATTTTGGCCACCCTGGGTTCCTTTCTTGGAGAAAGGCCAGATAGAAATTAAGTAAATAGAGATACATAAATATAATAAATACAGAAAGAAAAAATTATATATGCCGCTGTTAAGTGAAAGACAGATTTTATTGTGATAGAAATGCTGGAAGTTTTGATATCAGCAGATTCATTTATTATGCAGATTTACAAAAGACAGCCTGCTGAACGTCCCCATTTAGGTGTAAATAATTAGTACTAGGAATTAAGAGCCTCATGAGCACATTTCTCAATTATGAAAATTAAAAACTGCAGCTATGTGGACATTTTCTATCAGGCACCTGAAATACATCTTCTGCACATATGGCATGTGAAGATTCCTGCATGAGTTCTAGACTGTCTCTAACAAAAACATCATATAAGAGCCATTCCATTGTCATATTAACAATGGAACCCTTAATCCTTGGTTGCCTATGGACACAACTGGAGTCTTGAAAAAGAGAGTACCAATAAAACCTGGCTACCAGACCTGGATACCATCAAAAATTGGCTGTTGTACTGGCAGAGGGAAGACGGCTGTCGCAAACATGCAGGAGGTGCTGCGCTTTTCTGTGTTTTCAAGTAGGTGTGTGTGAGCCCATATATGTGCCTGTTCAAAGGCAAATATGGGAGGTAACTTTATTAAACCACTGAAAAACTATAGTCATAAGCTTGGTTTTGATACCATAGTACATGTCTTCTTAAGGCTTAGCACCACAGAACTGTGGGTGGTATTGGGGCGAAAAAGCAGAGAAGTTTCAAAAATCATGGCCAGATTTGCATGTGAGACTCCTTGGTTAAAATCAAGTTTCAAAATGAGGGCTGTATGTACCCCTGGTCTTTGTGTTTGCTTTTTCTGTTATGCTGACTTTTCTCTCTTTCATGCCTCTCCTCTCTCCATCTCTAGGAACTCTTCCTGCTTTCTCTTTTCATCTCTCTATGCTTCTCTTTCCTCCACAATGAAATTTGCCACTCATTTGTGTGAGTTTGGAAGAGGAGCCGCCTTGAATTAAAATGGGGAGAAAAGAAGATACCTATCTTTGTTTAAAGATAGTTGCCTTTACAGATGATGGCCTTCTGGAGGTATTGATCCTCCATATACCACTCCATTCATTTAAATACGAAGAAAAGGGGAAGGGAAAAAAAGCCACTCAAGGTCCACAGATGCCTGTGCCTGGCCTTGCAGGTGTAGAGGGGCCCACAGGTGCTGCATCAGAATCTCCAGCCCTAACACCATCTGGAAACAAAACTCCAGGATGGGTTCTGGAGTTCTGATTTACACCAACAGCATTCCACTGGACAAAGCAAACAGGCTAAAATCTGCTTAGCATCATCTAAATCCACTAAATACTTTAGGGAAACCACCCCTTTCTTCTCAGCTGGGGGGGGTCTGCTAGAGATGCATTGCCTTGTATGGGCACCACCCATTAAGTCTCTCAGACCTTATTCCAGGCGCTGGGATGATGACATGCCAGGGTGGACAGGCTCTACATGAGTTACTGACTTCCAAAAGTAACATTAACAGCTCTGCCCAAACCTGGGCTATAACTAACAGGCATTTGATTTTGTGAGAGGGAAAGGATTTCAAGTAGAGACGGGCACGAATCAGTGAACCAGTGGTTCATGCTGGTTTGTCTTTCAGCCAAACAAGTGATTGGCACTTCCCAGCCCCAACTTCTCTGAAATACCATTGGAGGGAAAACTAAGCTCGTTGGACTTCTCTCCAATGGAATTTCAGCGGAGGCAGAGCTGGGAAGCGCTGAACACCCTTTGGCCCAAAGGAAGAACTGACCTCCCCACTCTACAATAGACATCCAAATGTGTTAACTTACCAGCTTCTTCTCTCCTTTTCCTTCGTCTTCTGCATCTGAGGAATTAAGGGGATCCTCTGAACTAGACCAACCATCATTTTCTTCTGAAGCATCAACAGACTGAGTTGTCTTAGACCATCCTTTAATAAAGCAAAAAAAAAGACTATTATTAAAACCTCTAAAGCAGACACTAAAACTGGAGCAATACCCACAAAGCTTTTGGAACACTCAGAAATGCCACCTGAAAGTGTTATTATTATTGTTGATCTGAAATGCATTTATATGGTGCAAGTGCTAGATAACTTGAAGAATAATCACTACCGCCCCATACCCTCGAATACAACTCAATGCACTAAATTTATTTATAACAATGATGTATCCATAACGTGTATTGATATTGTGACTTATGCTTTTGCTGGAATTCATGATCAGTTCACAAATTAAATAAAAATAAAGGCCAAAATCAAAATGGGATTTAACTTATAAAATGTAGTGGGTTGTGAACCTCAGACGCCTTTTCACATCTGCTAGCACAGAAAACCTCGCTCTTATGTCTTCTCAGACCCTTATAGGTTGCATGAGGTGGAGATTCACAAATAGAGATTCAAAGAATGGAGGTAAGTGGTTTAATCAAATAATAATGACCAAAATCCTGTTGCAATAATACAGATTAATCAGAAATGGTGTAAATCTTGTGCACAACCATTCTAGCTATCTATTACACACTTGGACATGCTGGGGGGGGTCACACACTTGGGTCAAGACAACCAGCCAGATAATTGTGAAAAATGGTTGCCTGATTCCCCTTACGCATGCAATATTTCACAACAGGATTTGGGCTAATGGGTTTGCAATTTGTTTGATTAACAATTTATGTGCTTAAATGAGACTGCATTCAGCACCACATACCATATTCCTATATACAGGACTATACTGGACATAAAGTTTGTAGTTTTGCAATCATATTTAAAATAAACTCTTCTAGTTTGTCTCTTCCCCACTCCAAACTCATTCCCACATGCTATTTTGGAAATACATTTCTCTATGGTGAAGTTTAAAAAAGGTTTTTATTTGAAAGCTGGACAATATTTCACTCCATTTCTCTTATGTTCCTCCTAAGTAACTGCAATGCGATGAAAGATCTTCAACATATGCTTTCTCTGCTATACATACCAACAAAATACAAGAATGAACACAATAACAAACCATGCATAGCACAATTATGTTTTATACTCAGGGTAATGGTAGAGACCCACTCAAGGTCCACAGATGCCTGTGCCTGGCCTTGCAGGTGTAGAGGGGCCCACAGGTGCTGCATCAGAATCTCCAGCCCTAACACCATCTGGAAACAAAACTCCAGGATGGGTTCTGGAGTTCTGATTTACACCAACAGCATTCCACTGGACAAAGCAAACAGGCTAAAATCTGCTTAGCATCATCTAAATCCACTAAATACTTTAGGGTAACCACCCCTTTCTTCTCAGCTGGGGGGTCTGCTAGAGATGCATTGCCTTGTATGGGCACCACCCATTAAGTCTCTCAGACCTTATTCCAGGCGCTGGGATGATGACATGCCAGGGTGGACAGGCTCTACATGAGTTACTGACTTCCAAAAGTAACATTAACAGCTCTGCCCAAACCTGGGCTATAACTAACAGGCATTTGATTTTGTGAGAGGGAAAGGATTTCAAGTAGTAGAGATGGGCACGAATCAGTGAACCAGTGGTTCATGCTGGTTTGTCTTTCAGCCAAACAAGTGATTGGCACTTCCCAGCCCCAACTTCTCTGAAATACCATTGGAGGGAAAACTAAGCTCGTTGGACTTCAATGGAATTTCAGCGGAGGCAGAGCTGGGAAGCGCTGAACACCCTTTGGCCCAAAGGAAGAACTGACCTCCCCACTCTACAATAGACATCCAAATGTGTTAACTTACCAGCTTCTTCTCTCCTTTTCCTTCGTCTTCTGCATCTGAGGAATTAAGGGGATCCTCTGAACTAGACCAACCATCATTTTCTTCTGAAGCATCAACAGACTGAGTTGTCTTAGACCATCCTTTAATAAAGCAAAAAAAAAGACTATTATTAAAACCTCTAAAGCAGACACTAAAACTGGAGCAATACCCACAAAGCTTTTGGAACACTCAGAAATGCCACCTGAAAGTGTTATTATTATTGTTGATCTGAAATGCATTTACATGGTGCAAGTGCTAGATAACTTGAAGAATAACCACTACCACCCCATACCCTCGAATACAACTCAATGCACTAGATTTATTTATAACAATGATGTATCCATAACGTGTATTGATATTGTGACTTATGCTTTTGCTGGAATTCATGATCAGTTCACAAATTAAATAAAAATAAAGGCCAAAATCAAAATGGGATTTAACTTATAAAATGTAGTGGGTTGTGAACCTCAGACACCTTTTCACATCTGCTAGCACAGAAAACCTCGCTCTTATGTCTTCTCAGACCCTTATAGGTTGCATGAGGTGGAGATTCACAAATAGAGATTCAAAGAATGGAGGTAAGTGGTTTAATCAAATAATAATGACCAAAATCCTGTTGCAATAATACAGATTAATCAGAAATGGTGTAAATCTTGTGCACAACCATTCTAGCTATCTATTACACACTTGGACATGCTGGGGGGGGTCACACACTTGGGTCAAGACAACCAGCCAGATAATTGTGAAAAATGGTTGCCTGATTCCCCTTACGCATGCAATATTTCACAACAGGATTTGGGCTAATGGGTTTGCAATTTGTTTGATTAACAATTTATGTGCTTAAATGAGACTGCATTCAGCACCACATACCATATTCCTATATACAGGACTATACTGGACATAAAGTTTGTAGTTTTGCAATCATATTTAAAATAAACTCTTCTAGTTTGTCTCTTCCCCACTCCAAACTCATTCCCACATGCTATTTTGGAAATACATTTCTCTATGGTGAAGTTTAAAAAAGGTTTTTATTTGAAAGCTGGACAATATTTCACTCCATTTCTCTTATGTTCCTCCTAAGTAACTGCAGTGCGATGAAAGATCTTCAACATATGCTTTCTCTGCTATACATACCAACAAAATACAAGAATGAACACAATAACAAACCATGCATAGCACAATTATGTTTTATACTCAGGGTAATGGTAGAGACTATATGTAACTGGGGATCCCCCACAAAGAGCTAATGTATACTTAGTTCCCCTCTCCCACATGGTGCCAATTACCGTAATACACACATTTGGTTTGTCCCTCATAACCAGAGGTGGTTATGTGCTGTTCAGCTGGAACTGACTTAGAGCAAACCTAATAGGGCTTTCAAGGCAAGTGAGATATTTAAGGAATGGTTTCACCAATTCCATCCATTCTCCATGGCTGAGCAGGGATTGGAACCCAGGCCTCCTGAGTCCTAGTTCATCACTCTACCCACTACACCAAACTCAGAAAGCAGAGGTAGCTCTTGGTTGCTCCTTGGAAGTCATAAGTGCTTACTTTGACATATAAAGCCCTAAATGGCTCAGGACCTGGTTACCTAAAGGACTGCATTCTTCCATATGAGCCTGCCCGTCCTCTAAGATCAGGCCAGGAGGCCCTTCTGAAGGTGCCATCCCTGAAAGAGGTGAGGGGGATGGCATGTCGAAATAGGGCCTTCTTGGCTGTTGCCCCCAACAACTTTGGAACGCCCTCCCTATAGAGATCCACCTGGCTCCAACACTTTTCGGCGCCAGGCAAAGACCTTTCTTTTTAGCCAGCATTTAATTAAACAGTATCCAGTAGCTGGCTGTATGAGCAGCAAGATTTTTTAATGGGAAATTGACTGTTTTAATACAGGGTATTATTATAATATTGCCTATTTTTAATGGTTTTAATGTTTTTTAAAGTTTTAATGTCGTTGTACGTCGCTCAGAGACCATTGGTAATGGCGCGGCTAACAAAAATATCTTGTAAATAAATAAAATAAGTGGCCTAGCCCTGATACTGATAATTAGAATGGCACAAACTCCCTAATGTTTATGCACATTGTTTCTACAGCTCTGCAAGAATAGTGGTGTCAGCTGTCAAACTATGGGATGTTAAGCAAAAAACAAAGCAAGTCACTGTGCAGTCACACGTCACAGCACACCACACCATGCACGAAGTTCATGTGGCCTAGAAGGGATACATTACCTTGCCTGCGCTGGGCGGCTAGTAAAAGATAAGTAGTGCTGTACCACTTGGCCCTGTTCCATGTTAACACAGAACTGGCATCTGTGAAAGAACTGAATAATAAATATTCCCAGTGCATTACACTGCTGCTGTGATGACTACCTTCTTGTTTCTCACCTCAGTTTTTCACACAATGTTGTTTGCTAGCACACTGGGGCCAGATCCTCAGCGTAACCACAGAACTATTCAAATTTGTTGGCAATTCAGGGTTGCCAGTCCCTATAAAGATATAATTATTTCTTCTGATGAGGCTGTGGGCGAGGACATCAGTAGTTACCAGTTCTTCTGTCATTGAAGCATTATGGATGGACAAACTACTTTCTGAAATTACTTATGCAATAATGAACATCAGTTGATGAAATTAGGTAAATCATTAAGGGCGTTTGCTTCAAGAGGGTTTGTTTTTTTTCCCCACTAAAAAAAAAAGTAAGCTTCTGACTCTTAATTTTTGTTCTCTGTGTCTCTCAGAATGGTTTCCCAGAGCCACAGGCAAGTAAAAAAAATGCAATTTGAACATAATGGAGCAGCAGTGTATTTTTTTTTAATGGTCTGTACAGGATCTTACTATTGGGCCCCTATGTGAGCTTTTTTATAGGTACTATTAACCTTCCCTTTTGTATTTCTGGATCAGTCTATTTATGCCTTAGACCTCATCTCTTTCCTTAAAAACTGTTCCTATTCCATTCCTTCTTATAGAAGGTATTTATATCTGAAAGAGTCTTGAGCAGCACCCATTATGCAAAGAAAGGGCACATCATGTGTTATCTGGGCTAAGGTTGGTGGGAGCTCCATTCCAATGAAATTTGGAAGCCCACAAATTGCCAAACCTTTATTAGGCTTTCAGTCTGTATGCATGTCTCCTTAAGCTCATGGCATATATATTTTCTGGACAACACATATAACTACATATACTGTATACCTACATAAAAAGCAACACAGCAGACATCAATTTGAAAACTTCTTTGTACTGCCCAGCCCAGGTCAATAAAGTTTCCATAGAAAAAGTGTTTAAACATATCTTTTTCCACACATGGAGGGCTTCTCATGGGATTGCTCCCAAAGTCTTACTCCTAATACTATGCCAAGATTGCTCAAGAAATCTTGGGTCCAAGCTTCCTGAAAGTTTAACAGTACAAACAGTACACTAGCAATTTAAAAACTGGTTCCCTCCGGTCAGCTCTCCAGAGGCTGTGTGCATTTGGGGGAGGGGTGGGGGAATAGTGCTCCTGGAATATCCAAAAACTTGTAGGGTACAATTAGATAGATAACAGTTTTAATAAGGGCACATGCATTTGGAAATATTCATCTTAAAATGGAAATGTACATTGAGCGCAATAAGTGATCCTGTTGCTAAGCTATGTAAATGCAGATGTAACCAACCATAAGAAAAAGACACTTGAATATTAACAACTTCCAAGGCAGCCTCCCAGCCCATCTGGGAGCAACATGCCTTCTGAGGAGGCAACCCCCCTGCCCATCAACGGATTCTCATCCTCCTTATTGTCAATGGTACCACCTGCTTGTGTACATTCTGAGAAAAATGGGAGTGAATAATGTTTCATTCATCTCTTCAGGGCCTTAGAGCAGGTCAGCAAGCAAACAGCAACATTAAGAAACAGGAGCACCAAAGCCATGGGCCTGAGGTGATGGGTCCTCTGCTGGTGCCCTGGAGTCTGGGTAAATGCCCAGCTATCTGATTCGCAATGCTGAGCCTGCTTCTCACACACATTGAAAAGGGCCTGAAACAGGTGACTATACTATTACAGTCATGCCCCGCTGGATGATTACCCCGCTCTACGATGAATCCACATTATGTTGATGTTTTTGCGATCGCTTTTGCGATTGCAAAACGATGGTTTAAATGGGGGAATTTCGCTTAGCGATGATCGGTTCCCTGCTTCGGGAACAGCTGATCGTCGGGTTTCAAAATGGCCACTGGCTGAAGAAAATGGCCCCCCGCTGTTTTCTAGGACGGATTCCTTGCTTTACAGGCACCGCAAACGGCCGCCATATGGAGGATCTTCGCTGGACGAGCAGGGATTCAGCCCATTGGAACGCACTGAACGGTTTTCAATGCATTTCAATGGTTTTTTTTTTCATTTTGTTTGACGATGTTTTCGCTCTACAGCGATTTCGCTGGAACGAATTAACATCGTCAAGCGAGGCACCACTGTACTACTACTGTATTGTGTTATTTCTATGTGCAAATCAGCTTTCCTGTCCAATCCAATGAAAAGCAATCATAAGGAAAAGAGTAGGTGGTCAAGAGATTTAAGACCTCTGTGGCTGAACGCTGAGGGATTTGAGTCTCATAAACTGAGGCAAAGGATGAATGATAGACATTGACGTGATGGGGAGACTAATTAAATTTTTACACTGTGAAACCAGCGCTCAGATATGTCAGTGACTATTGACACACTGGACAAACAACTACAACCCATGAACATGTTGAGACTGGCCTCCCACAATGCTAGTGAAGAACATCAGGAGTCATCCTTGTTGTAGGAGGGGCTTTTGTGCTGTTCACTGGAGATGGCAGGAAAAGTTTTCCGCACATATAGCGGCTGTCCACCTTGATATCCAAAACCCAGAGTTTATTTTCAGATGCTTCCAAATGAGAGCTGTAACAAGTAGGCTTGGCAAAAAGAAAATTGCTTCCTTGACCTAATAATTACCAGTGGCTTTTCAGTTCACTTTGTTAGTAAACGAAAAGGCACCTAATCAAAATTCCTTACCAAGATAAGTGAGAATACTTCAAAAAAAAGAGAGAGACTGGCACATGCAACCAACATGATGCACATCCTACATTGGTATTCTGCCATTATAAACAAGAAAATTTGATAGCACTCTACCTCTCAAACCCAGAGGAGTTGGATCACTCTTTACTTCATGTCGTTTAGTGTTTTTGTCAGGGCTGACAGGAGAAGCTGCGGAAGAATGAATAAGCAAAAACAGACAGACAGAAAGAGACAAACAGATTGAGGAACTGGAGAAAAGAAAAACAGGTGGGTTGCATGCAAATTACCTTTGAGTTTATATTGGAAAACAGAAATGGGTTTTGAAACAATGTAATTTCAAGAGGTACCCTCTTCTTAAAAAAAGAGCAAGCCAAAACAGAACACAACAGATACTCAACATACACAGGCAAAATGCAAAAAAAGCACTTTGTGGTTATAAGTACAAGTACCGTATTTTTCCATGTAGAAGACAATACTTTTGTCTAAAATATTTAGATTAAAAATTGAGGGTTGCCTCATACATGGAATTAAGGGGGAGGGATCAAAGTGAAGGCAGGGATCAAAGCGCTTTGATTTCTGCTTTCCCCCTCCACTTTCTTGCAAAAAAAGAAATTTTGGGTTAGAAAAGAGGTCCCGTCTGTGGTGGTGGGGAACAAAATCAATTTATATTTTAGTTTATGTATTCTATGTTTATGTTATAGATAAAATAATTAAAAAAGAAAGAAAAAGAAAAGTGGGGGCATGTTATACACGAAAAATAGGGTATTTAAACAAGAGTAGAAAATTTGTAATTATAAATTTGCTGTTTTGGTGTTCTATGAGTTCATATATAATTTTATTCTAATAACACTAAATTCTGCATCAATACCTGGTCCTGCAAGAAGAGTCATTGGCAAAGTCTGGCTTTTAATGGTAAGTGATGCTGTTTCTGTAAAGGCAAGAGTGGGAGATTACTGCTCACTCTATATGAACTTAAAATAGGTGGCTGCACTAAAACACAGCTGTTCCAGAAGAACTCAAAGGTAATGAAGTTATTAGAGAGACAGACCTGTTACAGGCTGTACAAAGAAAAAATGGTCCACCCATCCCATTAGGATGATTGATGGGATCATGAAGGTCACTCCTCCCCCAAACCCCATGGCTGCCATGAACAAATAATCTCAAGATGTCTTCCTTATTCACTATGAAGATATCTATCTGGTTAAAAGTGGACAGTTCGGATAACTTATCCACTAACAACATGGAACTAGTGAATATGTCCACATGTACAAAACAGCCTTCACAAGTAAAGCATTTGTCACAGGCATCAAGCTTAAAGCAAACTGGACAGCTCAGTGGCTGCAGAGTGTCTGGCTGCAGAGCCGGACGTTGGGTGTTCTATTCTCCAGTGTGCCTCCTCAACAGGGACTGGACTCAATGAGCCATAGGGTCCCTTCAGGCTCTGCAGTTCTATGATGATGATGATGATGATGATGATATTAAAGCACTGAAAGTGTTTAAAAACACATTCATATAGCATTGCAAAAAGAAAACTGATAAAAACACTAGCTCCTTATTACAGAGCAAAATATTAAGCTAATATTTTGTTAAATAAAGTCACTCTTAGCATTTGTGAAAATAGTATTTCCTAGGTAATGATGTTACTTTCCAAATTCAGTTCCCCACTCCTGCCTGCCCTGCCAACAGAAGGTAAAAGCAACTACAGTCTGTACTGGACAAAAATAACTGTATTTCTAAAATGTACAATTTTGATTTCTGGTGTCAGTGAAATTTTGTAATCTGAAGTGTTTTTTTCTAAAAAGACCTGGCAATCTGATGTAGGAATCTGATCTGGATTGACTCAGCTATTTAAGAAAAATATGAGATGGGAAGACAGGGAGAGAGAGAAAGGAGGAGGAGGAGAGAGAAAGAACATAGAACTGAAAGATAAATAGACCAGAAGCACAAGTATTTGTGAAGAGATAATGACTGAAATTTAATCAAATTAACAAACCACTGAACAAAATCCAAATGCCAACATGCAGTTGTGTGAGTGAAATGGGGTAAATCACATCAGCAAATTGCTGCTCATCAATGAGGTGCTGGTTGTGTTCTTGGTCAAGCAATCAGATACACATGTAGTAATGCAACCAACACCTCTATAACAAATAGCAATTTGCTGCCATGGCCTACACTATTTCATTTATGCAGGCGTAAGTCAGCAACTGGATTCAGGCCAACGTCATATATCTCCCGAGTCTTTTCTACTTACACATGGGTTTGAATTAGAGATGGGGGTTTTCGTATATGAATATCCCCGCATAGGTGGCATTAACGAGGATCCAGCCCCATGGGGCCGGACGGTCCACTCACTAATCTGCTGTGGACATGACAGTGTGAATCTACCACACCTGTGTGGGGATATTCATATTTGTATATGAATGCGAATACCCCCCATCTCTGAATTGAATCATAATAGCTGCACTGAAAACCAACCACTGGACCAAACAGATTGCTTTGTAAAGGACTTTGACAATTGTTGTATTTCAGTATTTGGCAAAGAAGCCTACCAGCAGGTTTAGTTTATGTTAGCTGTATGTCCCACTGAAATGAAAAGTTTAAATTCTTCCAAAGCTTCTAGTTTTATGTATCACAGAACATGCTATCACAAAATGAAAAGCTGACACTTTAATCTTTTCACACCATAACGCCTCTTACTTTGCAATTAACTTATACCCATGCATAATCAAAGTGTACTATAAAATTTACCTTTGCCTTTTTCAGGATACTTTGGTGCTCCTGAACTGATACAACCATCTGGGCTCACAAGATCAGCATTTCTCTCTTCTTGTTTCCTAATGTTCCTACTTTCATTTTGGGAAGGGCTGTTTGTGAATGAGAAATAAAAGTACATATTAAGTGCCAATCTACTTTCTTCATTTATTATCACAAGGTAACTACAACCATACCACAACAAGTACAAATAATGTTCATTAAATTAGAAAGCAAGCCTATGAATGAGATACACACTTAAGACCTGTGATTTCCCCAATGATTTGGGTTTCCAGATGTTTTTGGACTAAAACTCTCAGAAGCCTTCACCACCAGCTGTGCTGGGCAGCATTTCTGGGTGTTGTAGTTCAAGAACATTGGGGGGATCCAAGATTTGGAACCACTAAGATGATGCCAACAAATCATCATAGGGGATTGGCCCACATATTCCCTCTGCACGCTCCAGGATGTGACCCAGTGCCTCTAACTGCTCCTGAAGTCATAACAATAATTACCTCCCTGCAGTAGGACCCCTGTATCCACAGGATTGGCATCCTAAATTCCACTTCTCTGTGATCTCAAAATATTAAAAATATTAAAAGAAAAAACCCTGTAACACACATTTCCATGATGTAATTACCAAATAGGCAACAGTTGGACTGGAGTGAAGTTTGCTCCATTCTGGCTTGCCTACCCTATTTCAATCCTATCTTCCCACCAGTCCTTATTAGCCAGTAATGCATTGATGGAAGCACACTGGAGCAGTGCGCCTCCCATCAGCCCTAGCACACAGAGGCATGGATATGGAGGCTGCCATGTGGCCTGCTTATCAAGAACAACATGAGGAAACCGTAAAGCTGGGTCCTATATTTCTGTGCTATGACGTGATTTTCGCCTGCCTCATTCTATGTCTCCAATGTTTTCAGACCAAGAATGAAGGAAGAGTGATGTGCCAGACACAATTTGCAAGTAAGTAAATACAGGTTCCTAGGGAAAGTAGTAAAAGAGTTGCTGGTGATAGTATTTTTCGTGTACAATGTTTATGTATGTACATTTCTAAAACATTGGCTTTTTAGAAATGCAAAACAGAGGAATAAAGCAAATAAAGATTTAAGATGGCCACATAGTTGGCCTTGTGGCCATAAAGAAAGGCAGGTTTCTAAGGATTCATGCATATTTGTGGTGTCTACTAATAAAAAGACATAAAATAAATTGTATTTAAATGAACAAGGAATTTAAACTTTTCAGCTGTTACATCTACCTAACAAATAATGGAAAGCAGAGGGTAATTAAAGCAGAAGAGTATAAGATGATTCAGTGTTTTATAAATTAACTTGTTTAGTTTATAAAGTAACTCACCTTGTATTGCATGATGCAGGTAAGGGCAAACTATGCGTATGTTCTAGAACTCTGTGTTGGCTAGCTTCTGTAAGGAACAAAAAAAAAAAGACACACCTCTCATAGTCATGTTATAAATCTTTGTATGACTTTTGGAAACTTTTCTGTACAGCATGCATGGAGTCAAAGGAAACAGACCAGACTCAGTATGACTCCAATCACACTAAACAAACAACATGGACAGGATTACTGTATCACATTATGGCTTTTTAGTCCTATTTGGACATTATATTAACCTGGGTTCTGAACATAGGTAGAAGGGGGTGCCTAGTTTGTGTCCTCCATTTTATTTCACTCTTAGCCTCAGAAGAGTGCCTAAAGAGCAGGCAGCTGCTATTCTTGCAAAGTCACTACATGTGAGCCAAAACCCAGGAGTCTTGCTTGCATATAAAGCCAACACATGAGCAGCAGCCCTCTCCTTCTCAGAGTTGCTACTGAAACAGTGAGCAATGTGACAACTGTGGGGGGCCATGCTAGGCGCTCCCCTTCTAACCATGTTCAGAATGCTGGCTAACATTTTGCTTGAAGAAAGCTTGTGTTTTGCATAAAATGAAGCAAATGCAAATGCACTGTAATTCACCAGGGTATCTTCTGATCTGCTAACTCACTAAAGTTGGCTAGGAATAAAACCTCACCATTCTGTCTAGATCCACATTTGAGCAAACTTTGCATAAATGCAACTCACTTCCTTCTCCCCACTCCTCACTGTCTTTTACTGGAATACTAAAGAGGATGCAACTGGGGTACCGTTTACACGAGACCTGCTTCAATGATTGGAAATCCTAGGATCAACATGGATCAGCAAGTTTTTTTTCTTTAATTTCACCTCCTTTAATCTAATTCCCAGAACTCTACAAAGGCAATAAAAGATATAAGTGCCCTTTATAGAAAATAAATGCACCCCATCACACCAATGATCACTTTGCTATTATTAGGTACTGCTGGGTGGAGGGCACGGAGACTTACGGCGGCATGCATGTAGTTGGCTTGTCAATACTTTTCTGATTGCATTCACCCAGGTGGCTTTAATGTCAGGGGTTGAAGCCTATGTCAGAAAGGAGAAATCAGATATTCAGTCAACTTCTTCCTACTAATGAAACAAAAGAACAAGGTAAAAACCCATATTAATCATACATGTGCGATGAGCACTCTTTAGAACACAGGCAGACACCACAAGGCTCTCTTGATGTTGCTGGACTGCAAAACCCATCAGCCGTAATCAGTATAACCAGTAATGAAGGATTATGGGACTTGCAGTCCAACAATGCTCACAGGGTTGCTTCAAAGAGTGTTTCCTCCTCCTCAGATCTACTGTCATCTGTTCTATATATTATGTAAACCAGAGACATAATTACTGGTAAACCCTCTCAGTAGTGGCAGCTCCCCCAGTCCCTGGAATCTGACATTTTTTTGGAGGTTGTCTCTGCAAAGCAGATCCACAGAAGCTCTGAGATTTCCAGCTCCTCTATTATATAGAGGAGCATCTAACAGCTGCCCCTCAAATGCCAAGTTCACTTTCTCTTACACGCATAGTATTTTAGAGGGCCCGGAGCCAGGAAAGAACAACTAAACAACGCTTCAAAGAGCAAAACAATTCCTTACTTGTATTATGTAAACTTCTTCCCTTGCATTATACCAGATTTCAAATTTCTTAGCATCACCTTTGACGTTCTCTGTTATTCCAACTGAAGTCATCTGGAAAACAAAATTTCCCAAGCAAAACTTCCATCAATTGTATGCAGACATCAAAAGCAAATCTCAAACTGTTTATGTTAAATAGCCCAACTGCTTTTTCAGCTGTGATCTTCTCATGTACTTGTTTGATTAAACTGATACAAAACAATTTTTCAGGCTGGCTCTTCTGGGATGCACTGAACCCGACCCCTGGGTCTTCAGCCTGATACCTACGATAATTCATAGAGCTATCTAGCCAGCCAATCAGACTAATAGTTGAGGAAAATAGTGTTTTGACAAACTGATGCCTTTTACCACATGAGGGAGCATCTCTTTTAAAATCTGCTAACTGCACATAGTCCAGTCTGAGCCTCATATGAGCCCAGTTTAATTCAATAAGACTTAGTTGTGCTTAGTTGTGTTTTGCTCAGGGTTTGGTCCACTGTTCAATTTGTCAGAAATAATTAAAGACAGAAAATAGTTTTGTTGGAGTCAAGATTTGTAGTGGCAGTTATTGATATTGTGCATTTCAACAGTTATTGCAAAACCAAGCATATCATGCTTCAGAAATACACACATTTACAAAGCTTGCTGTGCATTAGGAGAAGGAAATATGCATAAAACCATGTGTATATTTTTTTAAAAAAATCCAATAGCTAATAATGTATTCAGCTGAAAAAAACACTTAAATCAATGAAGAAAACCATTAAAAATGTTCATATTATGAAAAAAATATAAAGAAACTGTTTTATCAATTTCCATGTGAGAAGAAACAAAGTCTTGTGAACAAAAGGTAGAAGAAAAATATAAATCAAGATTTTATTATGCAGCTGTAACCAAACTGCTATTGCTTTTACTCTATTTATCAGAATGTTCTTTTAAAAAAAAATCTTACATTTAGAGAATGCTTATAACTGTACGAAGGTGCCTTTTCATATCCTTCTCCATTTTCTTCTCTTTTTTTGCAAAATAATATTGCCTTCTCATGGAGGAAGAGATGTCTCTGCATCGGCTTGAATCGTGCCAGATCCTTCACTTTGGAGTGACCCTTCTTATGATCTGTCCAGACACTGAAGGATCCTTGCATCAGAAGTTTGCCCAGTTCATTCAGGTTTCCCTTTTTAAAAAAAAACAAAACAGCAGACATGTACATGTTTAGTTAAAAACATAGGTGGCCTTCTTTGTCTTTTCTTCATTCTGTCCTGTGAAGCAAGAAAGCTTAGCTTGAAACCAAACATTGGAGCAAATCTGAAATCTGTATTCATATCCCAGAGGTAGTGACATATAGTTCTGGAGTTCCATCACCTAGTCTAGCCAGTTGACTCTAGGCTGAAGAACCAGAGAGTGTGCTCGCCCTTAGGACCTGATATGGACTTGTTAGGAAAATGTTTTAACCTAATATTTCAGCATTTTTAACATCCTCCTTCATGCCTTTAGTAGAAAGACTTACGAGAATGCCCCTCCAGCCAGGAAATAGAGAAGACACCAAAGAGAAGGTGAAAAAAGGGCCACAACTCCACTGAAACTATTTGAACCTGCAGCAGGACTTATTCACAGTGCACAACCTGGGTCCAAGAGCAGGTGGGCACTCCCAGCCACCTTTCCAGCCCAATCAGGGCAAGACCCCAGCCCCAGGGCCTTTCTGCACCCTCCAGCTGTGTCCTTGCTGGCCAAATTGGGGGGCGGGGAGGCTTCCTGGGCCCGTTACCACCCTAAGATTTAAGGAAGGTCACAGTCTGAGTCAGCCTCAGGGTATTATCTCCCTGAGAGATATCTGCCCGAATCACATGATTCATGGAAGTGGGGAAGGGTCTCGCTCACCCATCCACTGTTGGGTCTTACCACTACCACCCATCCCCAGCACTTCCTGCCAGATTATTACCTATTTAGATTGAAAGTACTCCAGGCTGGCCCATAAGTCTTGTAGACAACTAGAATGGGACAGGCACATATTTCCTTGGCCCCTTTTGTTTATTATGTTAATCAGGAGAACCAGGTTAGAAATTTCTATCGGGCCTCAAAAGCAACTGGGTGGCCTCAATTTTGAACAATGAGCAGGCAGGCTGAGCAACCCAAGGAAAAAGAGGCATGCCTTGTGGCAGAACTGGTCGTTAAAGCCTTCCTTTTCCTGCCCCTCAACACATGAGGGTTAGCATTATGCTCAAGTGTCCCACCTCCTCCCCAGGGTGGGACAAAGCTCCCCCCCTTTCATTTCAGCCGTATGGCCATGTCATTCTGCAGGCAATAAGAGCAGGGGCAGAAATAGAAGTAAGGGATGGAAGGGGGAGGGACGATATCTGTTGGACATCTAGACCTTCTCTTCCATCAGATCAAATCATTCACATGTTTTTCCCATCTTGCTATTTTTCTTTTTATGTGGAACAGAGACAGATCAGCAGAGATGTGATGCATTTTAGAAATGCTACAGGAAAGAGGACAATGTCCCTGAACTGGCATTCGGTTACAGAAGGTGGAGATCTTTCTGACAACCACAGCATACAAGGGCCCAGAAGGCCTAAGTCTTAGGTGACCTGGTGATTTGTCATTGAACAAAAGCAGGTAAGATAGAATTCATATTTTCTAATACGTGATTTTATTGTTAGGCATTGTCTCTGTAGGTATGGAAAAAGGACACAGATCCATACTTATGTGCAACTACACACACATACACAGTTGTAGTTCACTGTCTTGAGACATAAGAGTCTTGATATGGGACTTGATTAAGATTATAAGGCCCTGATTTTGAAGTGCTTACAATCTTAAATCTGAGATAGGAAAAGCAGAGGAAGAAAAGGCAGATGTAAACATGGGGAAAATATGGATTAGTTCTGGTACCATTGTGTTTTACTAAGCATCCGGGGGAGACTGATATTTCCTATATAAGTTGAAGAAAGAAACTGCCATATGAATAGCGGAAACTAAACAAAAATATGAACTATATACATTCATCAGATGATGTTATATATTTAGCTACAATTTCAGATAACTGGTAAAAGACAATGGGTACTGAAAACATTTGTTAGGATTGCTTTTGCTTTTTTTTTTTTTTAAACTGATCCTGAAATGTGAAAAGTTAAAACACACTTACATCATAGCCTGTTATTGCAATCTGATGCATGGAATCATTAACCGCTTTGAGGATTCCCATTATTGAGGTTAGTGCTTCTTGGAGATCTTCAGCACCTTCACAATTTTTACTGTATTTTAGCATTTCCTAGGGAAGAATTGCAAACACCTCAAGGGGAACATCAGTTTCTCAAAACAATAAAGATAACCTCTTGCATGACATAACACTGGCACAGTGATATTGTAAAGTAACTGGTTACAATAAGAGATGGTACAACTGGAGACATTCTGCTGGAAGACCTTGTTCAGGTCAAGGGTTTGCAAAATATGATTGACTAGATCAGTGGTTCTTAACCTTTGTTACTCGGGTGCTTTTGAACTGCAACTCCCAGAAACCCCAGTCAGCACAGCTGGTGGTGAAGGCTTCTGGGAGTTGCAGTCCAAAACTCCTGAGTAACCCAAGGTTAAGAACCAGTGGACTAGATGGTGTTGGACTGAAACTCCTTTCCGCCCTAGCCAACATAGCTAATGGTGATGGTGAACATGGTCAGCCCAGCCTTGGACAAATCGTCACCTCCCAGATTTAGCTTTTGAAAGCATAGGCATGCATTGAATTTGCTGGATCCATATTTTTGCATCTGCAAATGGAAGGGCTTCTTCTGTCTATGGAGGATCTACGAGAGGGATCACACTTGATCCATTTTCTGCAAAGCCTAATGACCTCTCTACACTCTTCTTGAGAGTGTTTCAGAGCAGAGTTCTGGAATGTGTAATGAGCTGTTGGGTGGTGGGAATAAACAGAATGTATGTGACCCCACCACTACCAAATTTCAGTGGCAGGAGTGTCTCACATGTGGAAGTCAGAGACATCTATTTCATAAAGCTTTGGTTGAAGTCAACTACAGTATTGTAGTATATGTTGCAAATTATGAATACTGTCTGAGGGTTAAAATGCATGCTACATTAAATACATGTTGTCCTGCTCACAATCTCTTTATTTCGCACTCTCTAGTAAGCTTGGAGTATTTTGATCCAGACCATGAACAGGGAGAGAAGCTGAAATCCCCTCACCTTCCTCTACAGAGTAATTTCACAATTCACTTTCTGGAAGTGGGGTACCTCTACTGCCACCTATTTAACCCTCTCAGTGGAATTTTAAAACAAAAACCAGTGGGAGGGAGAGGTTTAAACAATTAAAAAAAAAAACAAGACCAGAGATGAACAAAATATCAACCTGGAAAAACACTGATTAAGGTGCCATTTATTAACTGTTCATGGTAATTTTTTAAAAAAATTTTTTAAACTATTGCTGCTGAAAAAGAAGCAGCCTGCCCACGATTTGGTCAAAATATCCAAGATATATATTTTTTAACATATTGAAGGAATCCTATCCGAGGAATTTTGAAAGCTGTAGTTTTTTTAAAGTAAAGATCCAATCTCTGTTTTCAGTAATACACTCTACCATCCCTGGAGAAGCATTAACCTTTCCCAATCAGACACCCTCCATATATTTTGGATTGTACCTCCCATTATCCCTCACCATTGACTGTGTGGCATTTAAGCTCTGTTCCTGCCTCTTACCTTTAGCAACAGCTGGTATTTAGTTATCCTTTGAACAGGTTTCAACAAATATGAATCCAAACTCAGCTTATGGTCAAGTTTTCTTTGGCATTCCTATTAAAACATGCATGAATAAAGAACTGAAAGAAAGTATTTTGTGAGGTATACTGAGAATGATACTCATTAAGTAATGAATGTGTTTTCAATAAAATAAAATAAATTACCTGAAAGAATACGGAGTCTGAGAACTGCCTCCACAGACTTTCAGATCGAGGCTTATTTTGACAATATTTTTCATAAATCTGAAAGTCTTCCATCTGAATTTGAAAGGAAAGAGCTATGAATTCTAATAATCTGTGATTTTGCTTGATTGTGAAGTAAATAAACACATCTATAATGAGAATGTTACTAACTGTTCACTGTGATATTTGTGGCTGCTTTAACAAAATAAAGGGAAGAAAACTTTGGGCCTTCAAGATGTTTTTTTTGCTGTAACTCCTATATTCCCTCACTGGTATTGGCCACTCTTGTTGACAGCAATGCACACTTTAGGTCAAAACAGTGGTTCACAACCTTGGGTGTTCTTGAGACTGCAACTCCCAGAGATCCCAGCCAGGACAGCTGATGGGGAAGACTTCTGGGAATTGCAGTCCAAGAACGCTTTGAGAACCACTGATCAAGAAGAGGACAAAATATGTCTTCCCATATTTCTGCCGCACTTCCCATCTGAACAATCTGAAAACCTGTATTATGCAACATTAGTCATAGATACAGGAGAACAGTGAAGTTCTGATGGCTGAATCTGCTAGTTCTTAGGAGCTAACAAGCAATTAGCATTCTAATATTTTGCTCTAGATAGTGCAAATAAATTCAGTCTCTCTAATCAGACAAGAAGTTCTACATAGTAAGAACCAGGTCACGAGACTGTAGTTTCTGAAATACTACTGCAGAATTTTTGTCAGAATTCTGCCAATTCTGCTAACTGTAGCTGATCTGTGTAATGACATTTCATGTAACCAAGCTAACATAGGGAGCTACCTTGAAACAGGCTGGACTATTACTCCATTTAGTCCAATACTGTCCACTTTAAATGGAAGTTGATCTCCAGGGTTAAGGGCATAGGTTTTTCCTGTCATCTCCTACTTAATTCTTTTATAATTTGAGATGTCAAAGATTGAATCTAGTATTTTCTCTGCATAAAGCCTCTGAGTTCAGAGGCTTCTCTGAGACAAATGCAAACATTTAAATCACCAATTTTTATTTAAGCACCAAATGTACCACTGAACTATTTGAATGAATCCTAACTGAGTGCGGAGTGTTGAGTGAAAAGGTATGTTAGTTTGTTTTTAGCATGAAGGTCTAGAAATATGTAACATAGACATGTATTATGTTCTCTGAATTGAGTAGAACATTCAGAAAAAGTAAGTGAGTAAAATGTCACTAGTCTAGTTCACTTAAAAGCTACTACTTACCCTTTCAAGGAAACACCTTCCTACCAGTTCTGGATATTCTATGTAATTTTCTAGTTCTCTCAAGAATATTCTACAAAGAAAATAATTTGATTTGATTTGATAATATGAAATAACCTAAAAATATCTACAACATGAACTCTTCTACTTTACTTTTCATGTGTTTTTCTGTAATTTTACAAGCAGGGGGCTGGAGTTTCCTTATGTTAAATTAAAGAAATAGGATTCAGAAAGAGTACCACATTCCAGAAAAAAACAACGTTCCCAGGAAAATTATAGAACAGTATTGGCTGGAAGTGTCCAAGAATTACTGACATTGATGATGGTGGTAATAACTTATTTACATTACTTCAACATCAGAATTCCCTCTAAGGTGCATGGCTGTGCAAGCAGATGTAATTCTGCCCCGCCCTGCATAGCTTTCCTCCTCTTCCACAGACCCACAGTGATCGTTTCCAGCCCCTTTGGTTCCAGTCATGATGGAACCCTGCATGGGGGGGGGGGAGCAGAGTTACAAGAGAGGGGGGGGTAGAGCCCCACTCAGCAGTGCTAAAAATTAGAGGGAATGTTGTTCAGCACTGATAAATAATTATAGTGCTTTATTAAGTAGCAGGCAAAATATGAAGAGCTTAATTTAAATGGACAGAATGGAACACAAAAACAGGAAGAGAAGGTGATGGAGAAAAAGACCAAAAAATAACAAGGCATGACATGAACATAGCATAAAAGGGCTTTTAGCACTTAGGAAAATTGCACTATATAAATGTTAAAGCTTTAAAAACTTTGTTAAATTCAAATTCTGACATGCACGCATTTGGCATATATAAAGACCACATATCCCTGAAACAAACCAACTATGTTGTTGAAAATGAAGAATGAAAACAGAACCAATAACAATCGGAAAGAAGCTAAATAGCATTTTTTTTCAACTGGAAATTGCATTTTCTGTCAGATATTTCACTTGACTGAATTCTAACAGGAGGAGCCCAAGCCCCGGAGGTTTTCAAGACTACAAAATGGCAGATCCTACAATCTGAGCCGCAGGCCCTTCAGTGTCAGACGGCTCTGGAACCTCCTCAGCCTTCCCTTTTCTTGCCTTCCAACCCTCTGTCCCTCACTGTCTATGTGAAGATTCTGTCCCATTCTCCACATCTCACTGATATCCTTTCTTCTTGCTAGCTTTCTGATAAAATGGCTTCTGCTCTCAGTTGCCATGTCTCCTGATGAACCAGAAAGCAGCTATGGAGTTTGATGAGGGAGGAGATGACTATCCTGCACCTCATTGCCAAAAACAGAAGACTGACATTTATCTCAGTAAGAGTTGAACAAAGAAGCACAGACATTATCTCTCTTGTTTCCCATATCATAAAATCTGCATGTGTCATTGCCAAAAACAGAAGACTGACATTTATTTCAATAAGAGTTGAACAAGGAAGCACAGACATTATCTCTCTGTTTCCCATATCATAAAATCTGCATGTGCTTTGGTGTATTAGCTGGCTGGATAGCTCAGTGAGTTAGGCATCTCACTGTGGAGTCAGAGGTTGGGAGCGCAATTCCCAACGGTGCTTCCTGTAAGTACAGCCAGCCTGTGTGGCCTTTGGCACGTTGCACAGTCCCAAGATGCCCCAGAAGAAGGGAATGGTAGACTACTTTTGAGTATTTTTACCAAGAAAACCCTGAAAAGGGTCACTGTAAGTCAGAATTGAGTTGATGGCACGCACTTATTATTACTTATTTGTAAGAAAGTGGGCATGAACTGGGCAATAGTTTTCTTGGGGCCTCAAAAAACCAATGAGTCAAAATGCTAAATCTTATTCCTCTTGGCATATAAAAAATTACTCTTAAAAAAAAAAGAAAAAAGAGAAGCTTAATAATTGTGATTTTAGTAGTAATGCTGTACTATGTACCATTAATAACACAATAAATAATATGAGAATCAAATAATATGGGACAAGTACAAAGAGGCTGGAAACTTAAAAGATTTAACAGGCCTGAGAAAGTGGGCTGCAGTCCAAATCATGATTTCTTTTTAAACAGCAGAATTGTGTTGGAAAAAAATGAGCAAGGAGTGGTATCCATGCAAGTAGGTCCTCCCTTTGGTACAGGTTCCTCATATAAACAATTGTGCACTGATTTTGAGATTGGTTGCATTGCCAGTTAGGCAACTGTCTGCATGACAGAAACCTCACAAAGTGAAAAACATATGGACAATTATTGTGACTTGTGATTTTGGTTTGTGACATATTTTAAAGATATTTTAATCTATATTACAGGGTGAGTTGCCACCCTTTTTAAATGCCCTGCTTCTAATATTAGCACATGTACACATCAAACACAGATGTTAACCTGTTGTGAAACTGATAGATTTCTTCCATATTTCCAAACAAAACATCCTTCTTATTTTGCAGCCCTGGCGAAATAAGATGTGCCATTAAGGGATTGTCCATTTCTGCAGCATAGCCCTGTGATACAAAAGGAAAATAAATAAATTGCTTGGATTGTATTCCAACTTTTTTTCCTTTTCTCTGAAAATCCAGCCTGCTCAAAGCAGATAAAGCATGCAGCAATATTTCAGCAAAAGCTACAGAAGCATTCAACTCTCCTTCAGCAGCTGTCACTTTTAAATATTAGCCCAAAGGCACCTCAAGTCTTTGAATGGCCAATTTTAAAGAATCTTAGTTTTAAAAAACGGAGCTGCGGTGTTTCTTTTTCCTGAACTATTTATCTGCAAGTAAATCGTAACTATTTATAACCATTTATCCAGTTGGCAATTGCAATGTTTTGCTTCCACAGCCAACCACAATGACTGGAGAACTTCATGCTGTGACCTTTTAAGCCAATTGTTCTTTCTTCTTCCTTCCTGACACCAGTTCCTGTTTATGACAGCTGCTGGAGGCAACGAAGCCTGTTCTTCAGTATTTCCACAGAGCAGGAAAGACGCACAAACCTGTTTTAATTTGTACTTTAAGTACTCATATTTATTCTTCATTAGAAGCAGCCAGAGAAGATTTTCCCCTTTTAGCGGGTATATGTAAAGGACCAGGCTTCCAATGGGAAATAATACAGGAAATGCAAAACCAGGATACTGGAGAGGTTATTTCAGGGCTTTTGGGGCCAGAGTCAGTGGATGTTAAAGGTCATGTGATGTCCCTGTGCCCTGCCAAATTGTAGCCTTCGAGAGACCATTACATAACAGGTGTTCTCATTTCGAGGAGACTCAAAGTGAGATGGACTGTATCTTCTTGGGAACTACCTCCAAATACTATGCAGAAATAGGTAATGTTATGGCCCTGAGGGGAAACTGTTTTCTGTTGTACACACACAGATTCTCTTGGCAAGAAATCTGTCTCTAGCATATGGGAGCTACAGTGCAACAACTTCTTTAATACACAGAACCTAGAGATGAGCCAAATATGGAACAGGTTTTTTTTTCACAAAGGAGCTGATCTTCCTAATGCTGCCCTCCTCATTTTCGTGATCTTTGGTAGGGCAACCGAACAGCAGTGCCAACACTTGCTTGAATTAGCAGTGTTTTGCAGAACACAACTCACCCCTGCTTCATCAAGAGAAGAAAAATTGGGCTTCTTCTATTGAGATACAGTGCAGACCACCTCAAAATGGCACCAAAAACCAAAAATATAAGAGAATATAAAGTCATACATAGAGCTGGACAAGACAAATGGTTTGCTAAGGGCTTATGGCGAGCACTGTCACATTAGAAAGGCCATTCTTTCTAGGGGAGAGCAGCTGTTTCACAGAACACATATATATCTGAAGATATTTGGCTTGGACCTCACACTGTTAATTGTAGACATACAACATTACCTAGAGTCTAGACTGTATGGGTCTGCACTAGATTCATATGTAAATAAATGAACAGGTATGTAAATAAGGCCATTGTAGCACTGCTACAGAGTTATAATACCTACTTCAAGAACACACAGAAGTTCTTCCACATAAGCTCGTTCAGTTTCAAGAAGTTCATTAATAACATGTCTGTGAAACATAAGGCACATATCAGGCAAGAAGTGCTTGTTCAAATTTGAAAAGCTTCACTTTCTTAAATGATTTAACACTGGAAATCAAAATCATGTTTCTGAGATAGATTCTGTAGAAGTCATGAAATTTCTGATATAGATTCTGTAGCAAATACTCAGAAATATGTATTTTAGCAAATTTATTATCACTGAAGTCAAACAATACGGCATAACAGAGGTATTGCCCAATCACACATGAATGGATATAGGAAGGTAGCCCAGAGTGATTAGAATTAAGTAATAATTCTACAGATTATCAGTTTTTAACTCATTTGAATTGCACACTAACAATGCTTTCCACCTCTCTGGTGAATTGATTTCAACGGCTGCACAGTTATGTACCATGTAACTTTTAGAGGTAACTTATATAACTTGAGAAATCTCCATAAATTTTATGTTACATCCTCAGTGCAATAAATAATGTCTACCAAGAATCCTTTACTTGTAGCATTTACAGTACTTCCAAAAGTTATTCTGTCTGCATAACACTGCAACAAGACTTCAGCCAATATCAGCCACTGTAGAGATGGTAGCTCTGTGACATAATTGTTTTGGAGTAAAGTTGGACTCACTTCCGTAAGACAGCCAGGTTTTCTTCATCATCCATCACAGAGCCACCTCTAGTTTGATGGATTTCATTCATTTCACTCTAAAAGGGGAGAAGTGGAGTTAACATTATTACATAAAGAGCCAAATACAGAGCTAAACTCAAAACGTTTACTTCAGCCCTGCTATGCTAGCGTGATGGCTATTTTTCCACCACAAAATCTAGATAGCTGTGGGTAGAGTATCCAACAAAAGGCCCATGGTCAATATTTCTATGCTTAGTATTTCTTCCCATATTACCGTCCTCCCCACCTTCTGTAAAGTCCACTTTTCATGAGTTTTCTCTGCTGTGGCAATCCATAGATGTATGCTAATGGGGTAAATATGGTTTGGGACTTACACTGACAGAAATCTCCCCTCCACAAAACAAATAAAAAAAATGCAAAGCAGTGCTGCATTTCAGAAGAAGGGAAAGCACAGAAAACCTTAAATACCCTCCAGTCACTTTCCCTGCTTTTTTGCTGGGAAACACTTTGGAAGGGAGGAACATATATCAGGCTAATGTTATACAACTATACTGGTGGATGAAACCATGGTTCAGCAATCACCTGCAGCACAGAACACAGCTCTAAAATGCAACTTTGCATTTTTAATTATGTGTAAGACCATTTTTTTAAAGCCAGGAACTTTTGTGAATGAGAGAGAGTATCAAAGAAGGAATTTGGAATATGTAGGTGATGCTTCAAGCATAAAAAAAATATAACAAATCGAAGCAATTGAGGTATTCCTAATATTATTAGATACTTGCCAGTTCTTTCAAATCAGGTATTCACTTATGTATCATGATCTGGGACAGCAAAAATGGCCGCTGTATGGAGGATTTTCACTTTAAGGTAAGTTTTAAGCCCATAGGAACACATTGAAAGGGTTTCAATGCATTCCTATGGGCTTTTTAAAATCGCATAGCGATGAAATAACTTTGCAGCGATTTTTGCTGCACCAATTATCGTCGCTATGTGAGGCACCACTGTATAGACTTTGAAATCCACTACAGAAATGTCATGACCTTTGTCCGGAAGTGTGTTTTCCAGGAAGAGAGTATGAACAAGTTAATGTTTTAACAGTTATGGGCACACGAATAGCTACACCCATGCACCCACATTAGATACTTGCCAGTTCTTTCAAATCAGATAATTATTCGCTTACGTATCAATATCCAGCCCTTATGAAGGCCAGGAGATGGAACCTGAACTATAACGGGCTATTGGTGTGGCTCAACATGAGGCAGTTTCATATTTTCATGGAAAGCTGAACTGGAGGTGGCACTATCAGCCTCCTCTTTAAATTCATGTCAGCCCAATTCTGTTTATAAAAAGGAGACGGAAGCAATCCTCCTTTTTAAAAGTTAAGAGTAATACTGCCTCAGTCAGCAAATGGGAACCTTTGGTTTCCAAGGCCTAATCCAGACTACAGATAGGTTTGAAGAAGCCCCTCCCTACCATGGAGGAAGAAATTTTCCCATCTACCATTGACCTTATCCACTGGGAGAACGCAGGGCACATGTGGGGCTCTTATAACAGCACAGATCATCATGCATTGTGCTCTACCTGCTCTGTATATCTCCTTTCATACAGGAACTTTTGCAGTACGGCAATGAAATCTAGACTGAAGTGCCAGCTGCAGGAATGTTCCTAGCGCTAGCAACCTGGTTGGGGATTCAGCTTTACTGAACAGCTTTGGTTTGTTTATCAGGTTTTTAAGGAAAGCACTGGCTCAAAAAGTTCTGGAAGTAGGAAAACTCCTAGTGTCATTTGTTTGAAAATGAGAACAGTACTGCTGTTGGAATTCTATTTAAGTGAAGGTACTTCCACAAAACATTAAAACTTAACAGTTACAGTTTCAAATATAGAGTTTGAAATCCACTACAAAAAATGTCATGACCTTTGTCCTGAAGTGTGTTTTCCAGCAAGAGTGTATGAACAAGTTAATGTTTTAACAGTTACGGGCACACTAATAGCTACACCCATGCACCCATGTACCTTTATCCTTCTGAAATTTAGTCTCCGGACCATAAGACCATTGTCTGGGCTTGATGGATCTTCAGAATCTCTTTGGAGCCCTAGTATATGAAATGGAATGAAGCCACTGAAACAGGAGCCTGTCTCAGATTAAGTGAGGAAAACCATCCCCCCACCCCCACACCCACCCACCAGGTCATGGCAACCCAGTTACTTGCTTACCTGGGGAAGGACAAGGGGATTTTAGAGAGACCTCTGGCCTAGGTGCCACTGGTTGAACTGGACGAGTCTGCTTAGCTGCCAATTTCTTAAGGCTGACTCGCCTCTTTTGAAACATTTCTTCCATACTTTCCTGCTTCTGATAAACTTTCTGTATGTGTTTCTGTAGAACCCAGAATTCAAACATTATCATCATCCTATTTAAACCATGGCAATCATATAAGCCAACAACTCAATAATGCCCATTTCACAGTTCACTCCATTTTTAAAATGTTTTTATTGGAAAATTAGAAAATGAATGGCAAAAATTACATGGCCATAGTAAACACTTCCAATTTGGAAATTTTTCATTTTGTTATTTGTGCATGCACTTGTGTAAGCCTGTGTTCATGATTATCAAAGCTCAATGTGACATGCTGGTATCAAGATATTAAGATTACCATTAATTCCTCACTAAGGATAGCTTCATATTCTTTGTACAAGTAATGTGGTTCCTTGAGTCTGTTTTCTCCATCATTATCCAAAAATTTCTCAATCTCCTGTAAAGCTGCTTCTGCGCCATCCTGGGTCTGGCACTTGTCTACAGGCTGTGAAGCCAGCAGGTAAATTCCTTCATCACACCACCTCATGGACTACAAAACATGCAAAGGAAGCAGGAAGAACACACACCAGTAAACATCCTTAATTGAAAAGATGTCACAATAAATTGAAAATTATAGCACTGAGAAACCACATGGTTTGCAGTTTATCTGCATTGCCCACGAAGCCTTGTCTCCTGATCCCGCAGCAATTTGATGACCTGGAATCCTCCCCAATCAGCAGCCTCATAAAAGTATAACCAAAGAGTTTGAAGTTCACTCACTTTTCATTTATCAAACAGTGCCCTAAATATGTAAAAACCATGGTCACCAACCATGGATAGACTTGAATTGCAGACCTTCCAAGAGCTGACCTACTCTGTCTTTTTATAAACCACACCAATTTGGGAACATAGTAACTTTACTTATTTTGCTCCATCCACTCACCTACGACTGATTCCTGCTCTTTCGTGTCCCTATCGAGCTTCTCCTTCCTGTCAATAGGATACTGCCTGTGGCACAATGCATCTCCAGGGGCAGTTCACAGACTGGTTCCCTGTTGCAACCGTTCTTTCTTCTACAAAGCTTCCTTTTGCTTTCCAGACTGACTTCTTGTCCCCAGTCATTGTCTGCCTCACTTTCTGCTCTTCCCATTATACCGGTTCAATTGCCTTCTAGGAAACTATCTGATCCTGATCCCTCTCACTTTTTGGTAAGGCACTCTGGCCCATTAGCGCAGAAGGCAGCCCTGGTTTCCTCTGTCCTCAGCAGTGACTCTTACAGATAGGCTGTTATTTGCACTATTATCAGCAAATCGGAGAGGAGTACGGTGAAGTTTACCTTTTCCAGTCGTCTGTGTAAGTCAAAGGAGTGGTTGAGGAAAGTCCTTATTTTATTTGTTTCAGCAGTAATTGTGTCACAGTGATGCTGGAGTTCATTGCACTTTGGGAGAATGGAATCCACTGCATAATGGTTATTCTGTTTAAACTCATCACCTGTAGAAATTAGCATCCTTGCCTTCTTCAGAACGTCCTACAGAAATTCATGTCAGGAAAAGAAACACCAGAATATTAACTCTTTAGAAAAACAGTTTGTTGCAAAATATAGATGAGTTCTATACATCAATGGGGTGGTATATAAATGTAATAAATAAATAAATAATGGAGAAGCTTCAAATCTTTACATGTGATTTTTCTTCAAAGCTGACGAGGTCTTTTAGAATGTGTTCCACATGTGAACAGCTGTTTCCTACTTCAGTGAAATGAGATAATCTCTCAGACACAATATCTAGAGCTGCTTTGACCTGAAATGACAGAGAGATACATATTAATGAAAATGTATCCTGAAAGAGTATCCTGTCTTTGAAAGAACAGGGCTTATCTCAGTCCTTTGATTAATCAAGCCTCATGCACTGCAATGGGATATTTTAGTCCCCAGAGTCAAATTTTGTTGCAGAATCCACAGAGAAGTAGACCTGCAATGTATACATTGTACTGAATTTTAAACGATGTCTTCAAATTTCAGCCACTCACCAGGTACAGTTGCTGTTATTTTTTCATAAAAAACAAAATAAAACAGCTGGGGTGAGAGAGAATTCCCCAGTATTTATTGCATGTTGCTATTTGGGTTCTTTTTCATCTCAGCTAATGAAACATACTAAGAGTTTTTTAAAAAATGTCATGACTGAAACATGTCGGTAAGTTGGTGGCATTTGGGGAAAAAAATAGAATTTTATTTGATTTGGTTTGATTTCTATTCCATTTTGTATTTTGGTGCTTCAAGTGTCTGGGTGAAACATACCTGACTCCACATGCAAAAACAATCCTTTGAATTTGGGATGTTTTAATAGTCACAACACACTGGAATTGTGACTGAGATCTGAATATATCCCACAATTTAAACTACTGATATGTTTGAGGGAACAGATTTTAATTGATGAAAGCTCACACTGAAACAAATGTCTTAATTTTTAATGTGTCACAATATTTTGACTTTGTTTTTCCCTGCTCTTTTTTCTTTTTAATTTTGCCAGCCATTCTAAACCAATGTTGGGAAGCTTTGGTTATTTTATTTTAACAGTCCTCAGATTTTTGAGCCCTCTTTCATAAGCTTTTAGTGGCATTTCATCAATATTAATTAAATATATTACACAATTGGACACACAGTTCACTCTGCTGATGAAAGAAATACTTTATAGATAACCAGAAATGTAACTAATAAATTTATCCCACAGAACAACATAAGGCATACATTTAAAGCAAATTAGAAAGGACAGAAAAATCAAAAGAACAAAGTAACAAAACACTGCAAGCATTACTGAGTGCTGATTCTGATTTGTACTGAGGCTAACTAGACTAAGATACTGTACATACATACATATATAAGAATATATATTTCATGTCATCACCTCTCTGAAATCCAGTTCAAAATGTCTAAGTTGTAAGCACTGCTCCAGCTTCTGTTGGTGTTTAGACCAAAAATCATCAAAGGCTGTTTCTGTTTCATCTAGTTGAGTGAGAAGCCTTTTTAAAAAAGAAAAAAATAAGAATAAGCATAGCCCTCTCCAGAATATTGTAAGTCAGAGATGGGGAACATCTGGCTCTCCAAATGTTACTGGATTAAAATTCCCATCATTCTTCACCATTTGGGTTATGCTGGCTAAGGCTGAGTGGAGTTGCAGATCAACACTAGGGGGACCATGTATTTCTCATTCCTGTTAGAACAGAATGGTCTTCTTTATTTGGGAATCAAAGCCAATCATTAATGAACAAAGTGTTGTGTACAACAATATTTATCCAAATCAATTAGAAGCATAAGGATGGGTAGCACTCCAGTGTAGCAGGTCATAACTTATACAATCACCACAGTCCTGATATTAGTTCGGGGACTTTCAACACAGGACTGGTTAGTATTATGGTGACCTCAGACATACCCAGTGGTCCTCACAAACGTTTTCGGTAGCACCTCATTTCTACAATTATTGTTTAAAACTTAGTTTTAAAGCTCCTATGCCTGCAGAGCAAACTGCCTGGGTTCCAGCCACACACCATCTTCTCTTCTTTTTCTGTAATGCCTCTACATTCAGAAAAATTCCCAGAGAGAGAAGGTAGTGGAAGTACTTCACTGTAGCATATAGGGCAGTGATGGTGAACTTTTTTGAGCCCAAGTGCCCAAACTGCAATACAAAATCAACTTATTTATTTCAAAGTGCCAATACTGCAATTAAAACCTGAATGCTGAGGTTTTAGTTTAGAAAAAAAAACTGTTCCTGCACTGCAAGGGTTAAATGCTTGTTTCCTCCCCTCCATGGGCGGTATTAACAAATAAATACTTACTGGTGGGGCAAATCTGCCTTCCAGTGGGAGGGAGTTCCAAAGGCTGGGAGAGTCTTTGAAACACAGCTGCATCTTTGATAGTGCAGGGATGATGTTAAAATACTCGTATGTGTTTCAAAAACTTCAGTTGTTTTCTTAATGGGCTCCTTATAATATTTTTTTCATGGCAAGAAAAAAATGTCCGAAAAGAAGCACACACACACACACACACAAAGGTCAAAGTCTTTATTGTGGGACTGTGCCCATCCTTATTCATTTATTACTTTAACCCCCCCCCCCTCAGATCAGGGCTTAGGAAAGTTCCTTTTGGTGCAAATGCTTTAAGATAAGTTTTTGAATTAGGAAAGTTCCTTTTGGTGGAAATGCTTTAAGATAACTTTTTGAAGCACCATCCTAGAATACTGTCAGAAGGCCAACAGGGAGAGATTTAACAATCAGAGGGAGTGGTGACAGGGGATACATTAATAGGCCACAAATAAAAAAATCATGCAAAATGCAAGCTTTTGTGGATGAATCACATGATCAGAGGGACTGTTGACATCATCTTCAGGACTCAGCCAATCCCGAGGGTGCTGCTGCTGCTGCCTTGGGAACCCAACCCCTTTTCTCCTGGGTCTTTGTGACCTCACAGGGAGCCCACCTCTCTGCTAGCAGATAAAAGGGGCTTGCTGGGCAGGGCAGGAGACCAGAAGGGAGGCCAGTGGCCAGAGGGCAGTCGGACAGAGAGAGTGGCAGTAGCTGCAGGGGACTCAGTCCTTCTGCCCAAGGCAAATACTCTTGCGAAAGCAGATGAACTTGCTAAGTGGGCTTGCCAATTAACAGCTCGAGGCTGGCGGAAATCCGTGGTTTCATCCATATTGGATGTTGGCAGGCAGAAGCTGGTGGAATCTCCCTGTGGAAGCTGGCTGAGGCTGCAAGGCAGAGGCTGGCAGAGGTTGGTGGATAAAGTCGGGGGATGTTATCCTCCTGAAACCAGCTGGCAGAAGCTTGGTGGATATCAGTGGATGGAAGTCCGGGAGTGTGTGTGAAGTGGAGTGAAGGTGTGTGTGTATTGGGGGGTGGCTGGTGTGTGTGTGTGAATGGGCTGGCTGGCGTTCTGTGGGTATGTCGCCAGGGGGTGTGTGTGACCCAAGCATTTGGGAGCTGGCGGAGGCTGGCTTCAGAAGTGGAGTGGAAGAGATGAACGGGTGAATATTCGTGGTGGAAGCCAGTGGATGTTGGCAGGTGGAATTTCATAATGAAGTGGCCAGAACATTGGTCAGTGGATGTGCTTGGGTTGAAGCCAGTTGATGGCAGTGGCCGAGCTCACCCCTTAGTTATTTTTTTCTATTTCTCTTGCAGGGCCCGATGCATCCTCTTCCCAAGGGGGATGTGTGAGGGACCAGAAGGCAAGCGTCCTGCTGGAGCTGAACCAGGCCATTGTCTCCACTGAGAATACCCATTTAGTCTCTTTTCCAAAACCAATAAAAGAATTTTCCGGAATGGTTTTGAAGTGTTGTTTTGTTTGTCAGGGGCTGTCACGGGATTATCTTCCCCATCTCCTCATTATATCTGGGGCCCAATGCCTGGGGTGGGTCTTTGTGAAGTCATGGTGTGGGG